CTTTTTTTTTTTTTTTTTTTTTTTTTGGCCGTACTGGGGATCGAACTCAGGACCCTGTGATTGTAAGGCAGGCGTGGTGCTACTGAGCTAAATCCCCGGCCCCAGAATGTCACTTTTGGATGAAAAAGATTAGCCAGTGAAATTATTGAAATTTTTTTCTTTAAATTTTTAGGTCAAAAAACAGGAAGATATTGACAATTTCATGTAGTTATTTCTTTTTTTTTTTATGTGGTTATTTCTCACATGAGAGAAAAATTTCTATTTGTTTTACTGAGGTGGAAATTTCACCCTTGCTGTGTTTAATCATACTTTCACGGAAATTAATAATAAGTGATTACTATTTATTCCTAGTGTTTATATAGTTGACGTAATTTTTAGCTAAAATCTCACTCCAAAATAAGCATCTCATACAACTCAAGAAGCAAATGCAGTGAGGACTGGATCAAGACTTTACACATGCTAGGCAGGCACTCTAGAAAGCTCAGGTAAATTCATGGCTATAGATTACACTGAGATGTTTTCTCGGGAAAAATTACATTAGAAATTAACAGTAGAAATTAATGACTATAAGGCATTTTTCTGAAATGGGTCTGTTAATTCATTACATTATTATCACACACTATAATTACTTTGACAGATACAACTACCAGATCAGCACTTTTTTTTTTTCTTGGAACTGGAGATTGAACTCAGGATCTTGTGCCTGTGAGGCAGGTGGCAGAACTGCTGAGCTAAATCCCTGGCCCTGGATAGGCACATTAAAAAAAAAAAATCAGATTACTAATGTATAACTGTAAAATAGGTTGGAAAAATGAGTCTGTCCCCTTGCGAATTTAAATATGGATTCCGGGTCTCAAGATTATGTCTGGTATACTTAATACCTCAGCTGACAGCGCCACTCGCAGCCTTCCCAGAGAGCACAGCACGACCCTTCAGAAACAGAGGGCCTCGGGGCGGAAGAGAACCCTGGTCTCCAGATTTAAATTGGCTGTTTCTTTGTGGAGTGGAATTGCACTCTGAATGATGGGAACTAATCTGAATTACTTCCGTTTACCTCCATTTAAACTGATGCCTAATACAGATAGATAATTTTACCTCTAACCTTGCATGTTCAACTTTTGTTCGGATGAACTTTGAAATAATAAATATGTTTGTGTGTATGGCAAAGCAAACTTTTTTCCAAAGGTAAGTTCTTCCTTATAAATTAAACTTTGGACTCATCAATATTGATATTTTGTTCCCTGTTTTTTTATTTTTTATTTTGGTCCCTCCCCTACTATTCTTAAGAATTAAATACTGAATTTATCTAGTGTATCATTTTAAAGAAACTTAATTAAATGGTGACTTATTGTCTTAACATATTTGAAAGAATGGACAGTGTTAGCCCCATATGCCGATAGGAGGATGGGAATATGAGTCACTGTCTGCACTGTGACTTTCTAGGAAGCTAGTTGCCAAGATCTAGTTTCATGACTCCCACTTCTAAATGTCTGTATAAGAACCTATATGCTCCAGTGGGGATTAGGATCTGAGATTCTTTACAGTGTTATCATCCATGTTTGTCTCTGAGGAATCTTGAATTTTTCCATGTTCCGAAACCGCTGGTTAGGTTGTATTTTGAGGGGTAGAAGAAGGCGAGGGCTTGTACGTGCTGAGCTCGTCCACCCCGACTTGCTGAGCTGAGGTTGCCACTTTCACACGCACCTTTCCCTCAGAGGAGACTGGCTGTACCTGTCTTCTCTCCCTCCCTTCCCCTTACAGTATACGCCCCTACTCCTGAACTTCAAAACTTTGGGGTTAGATTTCTACATAAATGTACCATTTTTTTTCTCTGTACCTGACTTTATTTCTACTTACATTTCAGTAATTTATCTGTAGTGTCATATGTATATGAAAATATACCTACTCTTCTTGAATAAAGTTCATCTGTCTTTTCTGGTACAGTTCCTTGTGTTGTGTACATAGTCCTCTTTTGGACTCTATCACAGGGCCTTCTTTTTGGGTCTGTCACCCCCACCCCCAAACTCTACCTTCCTTGAAGGCAGAAATACAGTTGTATTACTTTTCTGCTTAAAATACCACTGTCAGTATATTTTGGGGTCCTGAAAGATTTCTTGTATTTTGCCTTGGGTTTGTAGTATTCTATGGTAGAGTACTGCAGTAAAACGTCAGCAGTATGCTAGTGACGAGTAATGATGACTTCTTGAAGAATGGCGATTAGTTAACATCCTAAGCACATTTGGTGGTGTGACTGTGAAGACACAGGACTCTCAGTGACAAATGTTCTAATCAGTGACTTTTGTAGGAGAGACCAGAGCACAGCTCCTCACAGCAAGGAATGGCCAAAGATTCTCGTTCTGATTTTCCAGCAAGTTCAGAGCCTCAGCAGGGGATAGGAGGCAGGCAGAGTGCAGGCTTCCTTAAGGTGGGCATTGGGAGCTCGTTCGCAGGAGAGAACCCTTAAGAGCAGCATACTGTGTGCTGTGGAGGAAGTGCTCATCAGCCTCCTAGGGGAAGGACTCCGGAGTGAACAGGGGCAGCTATAACACATCGTCTGGCTTGCAGAACAAGTTACGTTCTACATCCCTGTGTGAGCTACTAATGATGCCTCCTAAAACACTGTGCTCCCTGGACAGATGGAGTGGGATGGCTTCTTCACATGGGTGTAACGCTTAGTCTTGTGTTTTAAAATGATGACAGATGACTTTAATTGTGTAACTGATAATCTCTCTCTCTCTCTCTCTTTTTAGGGTGAAAATCCTATTTATAAGAGTGCCGTGACGACTGTGGTCAATCCAAAGTATGAGGGAAAATGAGTACTACCTTTTCAGATTTCACAACACTGAATGCAAAGTAGCAATTTTCATAGCCACAGTAAAGTAGCTTAGGGCACTATTGCCATGGTTTTTTTCATGTGCAAGTTTTGAAAGTGTATAATATGTATAATTTTAAATTTTTTTTTATTATTTTGAAAATAATGTTATAATCCATGCCAGGGACTGACAAAAGACTTGAGACAGGATCATTATTCTTGTCAGCTAAGGTCACATGGTGCCTTTTTGACCTTTTCTTCCTGGACTTTTGAGATCAAGCTCTTACTGAATTAAGTGATATTTCGAGGGTGATTGAAAGGTCCATAGTTAAAGACCACGATGAGTTTCTGTCAATCATGTATTGAAACCAATTTTTAGTTTTACAGATATGTCAGTTTTCAGCTATACAGAATCCACAGTAACTGTCTCGCTAGCTCGTTTAGGATCGTTTTCAGCCTATTACTTCGCTGTTTGCCTGTTAGACATGACTGGTGACATATCTGAAAGATGAATGTGCTGAGGGTTCCTGGTGTGACACCCTTTTGAAATCTACAGAGGCCATGGGGAAAATTCAGAGAGTTAGGAAGGAAAAACAAATAGCTTTAAAACCTGTGTGCCATTTTAAGAGTTACTCCGTCTTGGTAACTTGTATGCCTTTTCTTTATAAATTCAAGCCTTGGATAAAAATGAACGGGGAAATTTTCTGCTAAAGAGTCCTTGATTTAGCACTATTTACCCAAAGGCCATAATTCACATAGCATTTGCTGAATGGGGACCTTTTGAGTTGGACTTTTATTCGATTGTTATTTTTTAATACCTGGTGCTTTTCGTCACCTCCTCTAATCTCTTCATGTCTTTGCAGTTCGGGGTAAGACTTTCTTGTTATCAGTTCTTTCTGCCTTCGCCTTTTCCGTGAACGCGCGAAGCCGCCCTGTGGCCTGCACAGCGCAGTCAGTCCCTCAGCGATCTCACCTCCTGCGGGCCTGACGGACACTGTGTATTCACTTCTCACTCTGGGGGCTGCCCGTCTTGTTTCATGCTAGTCACGTTCTTGTTTTAAGTGCCTTTTAATTTTAACAGTTCACTTTTTACAACGCTGTTTACTGAAGTTATTTATTAAATAAAAATGCCTAAAATACTTCAATTGAATTGTTTCAGCTGTGTGGACTTGCCAATTTGTGCGCATGAGCTTTTCATGAATTAAAAAGGTAGAGGAAACATTTCTGATCGATTCATATTCTATGTCAGAAGCTACAACCGTTCTTTTTTCGGGAGGGAAAGCCTGGTGAAATAAGGATTTATATCCTTGTCCCCTTGTGTTGGGAAACAAGTATCCTCACGTTAAGCAGAAATAATTCTTTAAGAACATCACCTGAGAGCTGCTACTAGAAGCTGGAAGTTATTTAATTTTATTTAAGATAGAGGTAGAATTATCATTCTTCTCTGAAGAAAAACCAGAGAAATTGTTGTTTTCATTTGGCTTTGGTTTGTTTTTGTGCAAAAGTATATGTCCACCAAGAAGTGGTACCCCGGTTCACAAACTTAATCTGTCCATGACTTTGGAAAAGACGGCACGTTTGTGTTTGTGAGGGAAAAAGGCAGCAGTCGTATCTGTAACCTGATGCAGAGGCCACAAACAAAAACAAAATTTTGCCGAACGCTTTTTGTTTGTGAGCCAGATTGCTCACAGAGAAAGGCGTCCGTGAACCAAGGCGGCACTGAGCGGTGGAAAGCTTACTGAAAGCACTGCGGACCCCTTCGGCACACACAGCTCATCTCGGATCTGTGGGTGAGGACTGTCTGGGGTTTCCACTCCACCAGCCTCTCGGGGTCAGCACTCCCTCTCTCCGTCATCGTTAATTGATGACCATTTTATTTTATTCCACTTAATCTGCCTCCTAGTTTTGATCAGAGCATCTTTTAGGTGAGAGTTACATGTCTTTACGAGTTTAGAAAATCCACGCGGGAAATCCTCGTTCTCATTTATTACTACGTATCCCCTCATTAGCCAGCCACATTCCTGCCAGGTTTGACTTCTTTTCTCATGGTGTAAGCGTACTCAGTTGAGTAATGTGTTTCTGCTGCAGAACTCTGTTCCTTATAAGGAGGTTTTCTTTTTCGTTAAGTTTATTGGTAAATTTGAGGTGTACAATAGGATGGCATTCATCTTTGGGGATTTGTACCTTTACATGATATATCTTGGTTCTTATTTTTTCCCCCATAAGGAGATTTTAGTAACTCTTATAAGAATGAGGTCTATTTCCTATATGTGCATATTTTTTTTCACAACTGTCCTTGAGGTTGAAATATGGTGAAGTTGTATATTATGATTTATAACAGGCAAGATGATTTTCTAACTCTAGAAATCTTGTGTTGGAAAATGGAGGAATTGTATTGAATATTGTGCTATTTATTGGTAAGAGTACTGACATTTAAATAATTTTAGGCTTGAAATATTGGCATTTTAAAACTACAGTCTGAAGAGGGCCAGGGATTTAGCACAGTGACACCCTGTCTGCCTCTTAAGTACAGGGTCCTGAGTTCAATCCCCAGTACCCCCCCAAAAAAAACCCATAAACAAAACCTATAGTGAGGGGTTGGTAATTACATATTTTATATACATACACATACAAAATGAAGCCACTGCGAACCTTTTCACTAAAATATTTTACCTTCTCAGCCACAAAAGCACATCATTCTCCAGTGAGACACTTTCAAAAAAGTAAGAATCTTGAAAATAAGATTCACAGTTATAAAATTTTTCCATTCAAACTGTGTTTAAGAGCCAGGCATGATGGCGCACACCTATTATCCCAGCACTCAGGAGGCTGAGACAGGAGGATCGCTGTGAGCTGGAGATCAGCCTGGGCTACATAGTGAGTTCCAGGTCAGTCTCAACTACATAGTGAGACCCTATCTCAAAAAACAAAAACTGTGTTTAAGGCTGGGTATGGTGGCTCATGCCTGTAATCCCAGCACTCGGGAGGCTGAAGCAAGAGGAGTTCGATGCCAGCCTAGGCTACAGTGTGAGTTCAAGGCCAGCCTGAACCACATAGAGAGATTCCCATCTCTTAACTTCCCTCCACACCAAAAAAAAGTTAAAAAAAAAATCAAACTATGTTTTAAAAAAATCTAAAAATATTTGAAATCACCAGTGGTTAATGTCAAACACCAATTGTATTAACTGACATTTAAATTTTTCTGTTGTTATACAAGCTATTACTTTATGAGTTTTTTTTTTTAAATATGGAGTCCCAGGTAAGATTGTAAGCTGCTAGAACAGCTCATAATACTACTTAAAATAACATGTAAGGTCAACTTTTTATATTAACCTGACATTAACATATTTCCCTTTTTGTGGTCTGGTAGAATTGGAGAGGTAATTTTCAATGCATATCATGGGCCTTTAGTTTCTTGCTTGTTTTCCTTAAAAGCTTAGCTATTTCCAACTTACGTGCCCAAAAGAGTAGTATCTCCAGGGACTCCAAGCCTGTGAAGATACACAGTGGCTCTCTCGCTCTTGTGTCCTCCCCAGGATCCTTCTAGAATCCAGGAGTGCTGTGTAATCTCGGTTGCCATCTTGCCTGGATTAAGAGACTCCTGTGGTGCGGCCTGGATTGTGAGGGCACTGGTTGTAGCCGTGGATAGGCCCACTAATGAGTTCCTGCAGAATGGGCTTTTAGCAGGGGGCGCCGAGTTGGCTGAAGCGGATGGTGTGGGTGTCCCAGCCCCAGCCTCACCCTCTGTGACTCTTTCCGTGCTGTCTGTGTCCCAGTGCCCTGGACTGAGCACCTTAGCTCTGCCATGCTGATAATGCCTCGGAGATTGCTGACTGTGGACTGAAACTGAGCCAAAATACATCCTTCCCTCAGATCACTCCTGTCGGTAACAAACATGCTGTAGTTAGTATCTGCTTTTCTCTTCCTTTTACAACTCAAAAAGGAGTTGGCTAATGTGTGTCTCTTTCTCTTTTTTTTGGTACTGGGGATCAAACTTGAGCTTGCGAGGCAGGAGCAGAACCACTGAGCTAAATCTCCGGCCCTCATGTCTCTCTTGACATGAGCGTGAAGTCCACTTTGGGGGAAGACGAGTTTGTTCAGCAGATAATGCTGGGATACCCAGTTCCTGTGAGTTATGTGTATGTTAGGTGTTTTGGGCCAGCAGTGGGAAAGTGACTAATCCTCTAGAGTAGCAGTGGCTTCCACGTGATCAGCGGGAGCAGATACTCAAACTGGATTACATCAAGATTGACTCCTAAGCCTCCACTGCTGTGAGGGGAATACACTGGCTAACGTGCAACCTTTGGGGTACGGAAATGCTAGGGCAAAGCTTGAGACAAAGATGACTGCTTATGAGAAGCTGTATACTTCCTTGCTTGTATAATCTGAGTTTTGCGTGTGCTTTGATGATACCGAGATTTTAAATGAAGGGGCTCAGTGTGGTGGTGCATGCCTGTAATCCCAGCACTTGGTAGGCTGAGTCAGGATTATCTTCAGTTTAAGACTAGCCTGGACTAGCTAGTGAAACCCTGTTTCAAAAAACAGTAAAACAAAATATACTAAAAAAGATTTTAAAAGAAAAACTTTAAGCGTATAGAATTTTCACAAGAAGTCATTAGACAATTTTATTTTACTTTCTGCTTTGTCTGGTTTTATGGTCTTATTAAGCCTAATTTTTTTTTTTAAGTAGGGAATTTTACTGAGAGGCAGCTCCTGAGAGAGGTGGGGACGCTGAAAGTGGGTTGCCCAATTACATCTAATTTTAAAATAAAACAACTACTCCTGGGTCACTATGTGAAACACCGTTCAGAATATTTAATTCCTCTAATTTAAACCATTGCTTTATAGAAATTTACAGACAATACAGCTGTATTTAGTTTCTGTATGTGGTACTTGATATGTTGTGTTTTTATACATTGATAACTGCCAATGTTGCTTACTGACGGGAATTGTTTTTGGGAGATTCAGGTCTCTGGCAATAGCCAGCTTATTGCCCCTCAGCAGCTATTTCATAGGTAATTCGATCCTCTTATCAGACACCCTGTCCTCATCCGACTTTCAGATCCTCGAGACTTCCAGATGTGCTTTGTCTCTGGTCTTTTGTTTCACCCTTAGGTTTGACCTCTCCACAAGGCAGGCACTGTGTGGTGTGACGCACCACCGAGTCCTCAGAACAGTGTCTGCTGTGCAGTAAGGTGAGCAGTGTCTGCTGTGTGGAGGGTTTGCTCCCACGTTTACTACGCTTTGAACCTACCGGCCGGCAGCTCCTGCAGGCGCACTTTGCCCTCCTGAGCGAGAGTGGTGCGGATATCCTGGTGCCAACCCTCTTGCCTGCTATGAGAGGCAGTTCTGTCCTCGCTTGCGTCTTTAGTTTCCTCTTTTCCGGATCATTCCTGTTGATAACAAACACACTATATAGTTAGTGTCTGTTTTTCTTTTCCCTTTACAACTCAGAAAGGAGTTGTCTAACTCTTATCTCTGGGCAACTGATTTTTAACAGAGGTGTCAAGTCCATTCAGTGGGGAAAGACAAGTTTCTTCAGCAGATAATGCCGGGATAACTGGATCCCCAGAGGTGGAGAAGGAAGATGGACCCTTGCCGCTCACCATGATATAAAAATTAACTTAAAATGGAGCAGTGACCTGAATAAAAGAGCTAAAATAAGATATTTCAAAGAAACAGGGTTATGTCTTCATGTTTTAAATTTTGCAAAAGATTTGTAGACCTGACACCAGAAATATGAACAAAAGAAAAAAAAAACAGATAAGTTAGCCTTCATCCTAATTAAAAACCTGTGCATCAAAGGACATTATCAGGTCAGAACCAAAGTGGCAGAGTAGTGATCAGCAGCAAAATTTTACCCTCTCTGAGGCCTGGAATCCAGAGCCCTAGAAAATAACTTGGTGAGGAAGAAAAGAAAAGTAGATCTCTGGGAACTGGGAAAGAACTGACAGGAAAATTAGAAACTAGGGCAGTTGGGAAAACAGACAAAGGCAGAGAAAGAATGAAGCAATGTGGACGCTTACCCTGACTCCTGGAATAGGGACCCACTTTCCACAGGCAGTGGGAGCCCCCAGGGTTCAGAGCTCCAGGGAGAGTGGACTCGGTCAGCAGTGCTGGCACTAGGAGGAACCCATGACTGTTGTGAACTGC